TCGTGAGGTCTATGGAACCGGTGTGGAACCAGCCTAAGACCCTCCGATGCCGAAGTAAGTTTGTTGTTTTAAGAGCTCTTACTGTTGACCATATAGAAGTATAAAAGTCAAGCTGAAAAGTCTTACCCCTGTATTGTAGTGGAGGGGCCTATTTATAGAGGGCATTTAGTATGCTCTTAGTGCTCATTTTCGATGTGGGACTCATGGGAGGGCATTCTGAGGTCGACACGAGTCTTTAGATATTTTGGGCGGGTACTTCGAGGTTAATTCTCTACAATCGGTAGGGGATGCCGATTGTAGACGAGTTGGGCTCGTAATGGCTGTTCGCAGCTTTGAGACAATGCCATCGGTGGCCGATGCCGATTGTCCGAGGCCTTGGGTACTTGGGTGAGTTTATAAGATCCACGTGTCGTTGTACGAGTGGAGAGTCAGATATGGTACAAACAATTATCAGATTAAGGGCCAGTTTGGCGTTGCTGTGCTGTGAAAAGAATCGTTGTTAGATTTGCTCTGAGAGAAAGCAATTTGGTGTTTGGTAAACTTTTTATTAAAAGTGTTATTGGTATAATAATCAGTTTCTAAGTGTTTGGTAAATTTTTTAGAAGAAATAAACATACTATGCCTCTTACTCGAGTCTTATGGCTTCTCAGGAGTGTGCTTCAATTGTTTCAACAAGAAAACATAATAGGAAGAATAGAAGAGATTCAAGAGAATGAGAACTCTGTGAAAGAGATGGCGTGAAGAAGCAAAGGGATGTGAAGGAGAAAACGCACGAAGAGATTGCGTGAAATAGATTGGGGTATTTTCGGAAGTTTGTGAATTTCATTAAACTCAGCGTCTCTTCGTAATTGATTCCCGTATAATCAGAAAATAAAAGCACCTCATTGGCTATTTTCCCTTATAACTTTCTCTCATAGCAATTTTTTACAATAAGTGATTTTCTTATTGTTTACCAAACGGGCTGGGCTTCCTAATTTTTTTTAAAAATCACTTATCACCCCAAATAAGCGATGCCAAACGGGCACTAAGTTAATGGAATTACGGGTAAACCTTGGTCAAATACCACTCTACTCATAGAAAATAATTTCAATTTGGACAATAAGAATTTTTTTTAAACAAAAAAAAAAAAAAACCACTTGTCGCCTTTTTTTTATTATAGGGTGTTGCTATTTGGACCATATTTATTGACCACCCTTCTAATATAGGTGGGTCCCACATACACTGGAAGAGCTATCACTATTAGAGATAGCAATCATCAATATTGTCTAAAAATTTGTAACAAAAATTTATAAAAAAAATTAAACTACAACCCACATCCAAGTGCACTCCCTAATTTGAATAATGTAATATGAAGCATAGATGAATAAACTTATTTTTATGTTTTTACACATGTTATGAATTAAGTTAATATTTTTTGGGTGCTGATTTTTCCACTCCCCTTTTGTCCACTTACACCCCCTTTTGTTTTTAAATTTGTTTTACTAGAACATACAAGAGAGTGTAAGTGAACAAAAGAGGAGTGGGAAAACTAGCCCCCTTAATGTTGTCTAAAAATTACTAATAAGAAGTTATAAAAGACTTATAAAAAGAAGAAAAAAAGGGACAGCCCGTCCCAACCCATGGGCGGGCTCAAGCATTGACATTTGAAACCTCAGCTCGATTCAAAAAATAAAAAAAGCTCGTGAAGCCCGTCTCGAGTCCAAAAATTTTAGGTCGGCCCGACCCAACCCAATAACAAACTCTAATTAGAGAGGTGGTCAGTAAATATGGTATAAATAGTATTATATATGTATATTGGAAATTAAATTCATCCATTTTATTTATATTTATATTTATTTTTGTTGGGAATTAAATTCATCCATTAAAAGTTTCACTTATTACCTTACAATATGCAATAGGATGAGATATTACTTAGCAAAACTATACAAAAAGCATTAGATAGTGTAATTGAAATAAATTAAATTAATGAAAGACAGTTGCAATCAATTATTCAATATCCATATTTGCCTTCATTTTCTACTATAACTACAAATATTTATAATGGATTGAGACAATTAAGCAAGGACAATGAAGGCAGCAAATTTATGCTACTTGAAACAGATTTTAAATATAATAAATACTCTTTTTTCATGATAAAAATAATAAATAATAAATATAGTTTATAACCCAAATTTCAGGTTTGTCTTTCCTAATTTTTCTGCCACAAAAGGGCATCGAATTCCAATACTCCGAAACGGCTTGGGTTGGAAACCATATACAAATAATTAATTAATCAATTCTTCCTTTTTTTTGGGGTCCAAAAATTAATACATTCATGAACAACATTTATGTCACCGGCTGACCGAGGACATGGAAGCTTCCTGCCTCGAGCAACCACAAGCTGACACGTATACCCCCGTTGAAAAGCATAAGATTAGAGAGTTAATGACGGCTTACGATGGACATAGATTTCCGTTATGAACAGTATTTATGTGACCCACGCGTGCACGTTTGTCGCGTCTTATTTACGCTCCAGTCCGCGGGAAAAGCTTTATGAGGTGGCAGATTTCAGCCTATTTTACTCAACTGCTTAATTGTAGCACCAAAATCGTATATAATTTTTATATAAAAACCAATATTCTATTTATAAGTTCGGTATGAAAAGGCAAACACTGAAATAGTGTTCAATTAAGGACATCAAATATGTTTACCAAATTTTATACACCAAATGATGTGACACTGTTTGATTGAATTAAATTTGTCATAATATAAGCGATAATTTAAATTATAAGGAGGGGTGTTCTTATGCACACTACCAAAATGTCATGATGATTCAAGCTTGAGACAACTGCTTTTCTAGTTATTACCTTATTTTTATTGAACTAGATCCCGTTGGCGAATCAATTTACTTAATGTTGTAACACTATAAATATGAATAATACATTTATACAATAAGCAAATAATTTAGTAAGAGAATAGTTATTAAAAATATATATATATATAATGGCCTTTATTCTCCAAGTTAAACACATGCAACCTGCTTTTGGGGAGGATAATATAATAGTATAGAAAACGCAACTCTTTCCAATGAGGTTGAACAGGAAAAGAAGAGAACATTTCTGGAAATTTGTCGGTCACTTCCGCAATTGTTTGCATACGTTACTGAGAAAAAATCTTTATTTTAAAATGCGTCCAACATTATTGTAAATAGAGTTGCATGATCAGAAATAAAATTATTTTTGGTAAGCAACAGAAAAAAAAAAACTAGCTTCAATCACAAGTGACGTAACAAGGTTGCAATTAATACATAGCTAATTTGTCTATTTAAAGTCTCAAATTGATATAATTTGCAGGTAATTTTATGTATTTTAAATTATTTTATTAATATTTTAATTATGGTCTCATTGTTTTTCGTCAAAGTTAGTAAGAGGGAGGAGAATTTTCTCACCCACACACTATCAAAGTAATTATGGGAGTTCGAGCATGAGACCACTTGTTTGCAAGTCAAAGTTCTTTTCCATTGCGATAAACCTTGTTGACAAAATAACTTAGTTTATCCAAATTTTATTTGTAAAGCTTATAAAAAAAAATTTAAAAATTTAAAAGAAAACAAAGAGTTCGATTGTTGAAGGGATTTGGGTAGAATTGTGCAACCTACCCTAAGAAGCTGCACCTTTCATAGTGGAACACTAGAACCGCATAAAGGAGGATGATATGGACTCAACCAGTTGCACTTTATGAGGTTATCGATCCATTTCGATATTCCATACGAAATTAAAATAATAAAATAATAAAAATAAGATCGATTTGGATTTTGTTACACATCTGTTTGGCCATTGATTATGTGTCGAATTCTAAATCAAATAGCAAAGTCTATATCAAACACAATTTTATATGTAGAAAAAAATAATTAAGAAAGAGTTTAGTTTTATATATATATAATCTTATACAATACAACAACAGAGAATGGTAGGTCTCATGAGAAATTTATATTTATTAGAAAAACAGGACATGGCTTTGCTTGACTATTTTCAGTGTTGCAAATGCCTTAAAATAATCTCAGCCATAGCAGCTTTGTGATGACATGATGGAAACCTTAAATATGTTGGGATTATGTTTCTAAAACCTTAAACATTTTGTAACCACCAATTAATATCTAATCAATGTACCCAAAATGTATAGAGAAAAAAAAATAATTTTATCTTTATTAGCTACTGAAATATGCAAACACCGTAATTTTATTTGTTGTTGAAAGGCAAACAAAGTTGATTAAGGGTCTGTTTGGGATTGCTTCTCTAGGAAGTACTTTTGCTCCTAAGCGCTTTTATTATAAAAATCTTGAATTTTCATAAAAGAATTAAAGGGCTTCTTGATATTTTTCTTCTCAATATTAAAAGAAATTCTAAATTCAATTTATTTTTCCCCTCTAATTAAAAATTTATTTTTTTATTCGAGATTTTTATTGACGTACGACGAATTTCACATCTTTTAAAGAGAGGTAGAGAACAAAGTGATTAAATTTAAATTTGGAATTTTTCAATCTTAAAGAAGAGCAATGCTCGTCGGTTAGAGCATTTTAATGAAGTTTTGGCATTATATGAAGAAGGAAAAGAAAAAGAAAATTCAAATAACCCTAAAAGAAAAAAAAAAATTCCAATAAAAAAACAAAAGGCAAAGGAAATTAATCAGTCAACTCTACATATAAAGCAGAAAAGAAAAATGAAAAAGAAAAAACTCTAGAAAACAAAAGCAAACACGGTCTTTCCTCTCAGTCCGTTACTAAAATTACCAGACTACCGCCTAAAAGCCAACACCTTCACGGGCTCCCTCCACTATTCGTCCACGCGCCGCACTGCGCAAGAGGAGAGAGAGGGCGTGGCAGGTCAAAAACGAGAACGTCTTGGGGTCCATTAGGCCCCACTCCCTCCCAAAGTCAGGTCCTACTCCCACACAAAGTCAGGCCCTATATATATCAATCACAACCAGTGTGGACTCTTTAGCTCTCCTTCATTCATTCATATTCACACTCTCTCTCTATATATATCTCGCTGCCCCGAAAACTCAGACCCGGAATCTGAAACCCGGACCCGATTCGGCTTACCTCATCATCATCATCCTAGAGACTTTTCATGGTGGGTGGTCGTTCTTCTCTGACTATGACTCTCTAGGGCTTTTCACACTATAAATACTCGGCAGTCCTTCTTTTCGGTTTTTGTTCAGAACCTAATCTCCACTTGTCTCTGCAGCTCTGAGCTTCTCCGAGCTCACCGCTACTCTCAGCCATGGGCGGCGACAAGGCCATCAGCCTAGAGGAGATCAAAAACGAGTCCGTCGATCTGGTATATATTTGTATCCGTACCCTCTCTCTTTATTTCTCTGTTTTGCGCTGCTGCATGTGTTTTGGCTGCCCAGAAAATGATGGAGTCTACAAAAGAAAACGTTATGAAAAACTCCGATCTAATTGAAATTGTATAAATTTTTTGTGTTTTTTTGTTATCAATATCGTGAGTTCTTTTCCTTTCTTTGGAGTGATTAGTTCTCACTTTGACGACTTTAATTTTCTCTGATGACTAATATTTTACTTGCTTTCCTGTTTCCCGGTTTTCCGTACTATCTTTCTGGCCTACCAAACAGGAGCGGGATATATAATTTCATCGTCGGTATTCATCTATAAAATATATAAAAAAATTCCAGAAATTAAATAATTTCTCTATTTTTTTTTTCGTACTCTTGTTTCCTTTTTGTTTTTTGTTTAAATCGGCGGCGTGACTTTTCAGTTTTTCCCTAGTCTGTCATTTCGGCGATGATCGTAGAGATAGAGAGGACACGAGGAAACCTTTTCCAGGCCACAGTTTTCATCCGAATCGTTAGGGCCATTTGGACTCACCTTTGGTGGGCCCAGGGCCGTATATGAACGGCCCAGATTCCTCTCTCCTATTGCTTTTCTTCCAAGCTGTTTTTTAAAGAAATATATTTATTTCTGTTTTCCAGAGCCCCGTACGGTAACACGACCCAAACGAGGAAACAAAAATCAAAATTAAAAAGGTTACGGTTTTTGTTTTTCGTTTTTGTTTATGGAAAATGTTTATAAAAAAATATTTGTATGGTCTGCGCTTTACAGAAGAGTGTGGGTGAGGTACGCACCCGAGGGTCACATGGAATCAGCGGCTTGACAACGCACGCTGCTTTATTAGAGAACATGGCTGACAACCGAATATTAAATTACCACTACGCGCCGTTTTAAAGGCGTGTTTTCTACGTACCTTATATGGCGATTTAGAAATATTTTTATATTAAGAAAAACATAATTTTGATTTAGCAATGAATTCGTTTATACCATAATTTTTATTTGAAGGGTTGATTGAATAATTCCATTTAAGACCTGGGTTGTTGGTTTCTTTGTTATTCCATAGTTGCCAAGTTCTCTGTGGTATTTTTAAGCTTTCCTGTTTTAAAATACTTTTCTTGTTTAGGGATTTGGGCGTTGCGAGTACCTTGGTTGTACTTCATATATGCTTGGATATTTCATTATTATTATAATATATATATTTTTTTTTGTGAAGTGTCAAATTGTTTATTCATATAATACCCACAAGTCATGAAGTCAATAAGTGATACAGTAATGTTGGACTTTTTATCCTTGCAATATTGTTATTGGACACGACTTCAAGACTCCCATGAGCAGTGAGCTAAAGCAGTTCCCATCTGTTCACGCATCTATTTCGTGAATCTATTGATTGCTAACCTGTGGAGACCTAGCTGTTGAATTTTCTGTTTACCGAAAACAAAATCTTAAATGATCATTTACTGTTCTTTTGCTAACCAAAAGTAAAATTTTGGTGCAATAGAGAATTCTTGCAATAAGTTGTTTTCTGTGTGCCATAATTGACTGTGGGTAGCACCAAATTTAACCATGAACAATGCAATTGAAATATCATGCACGTCGGGTTGGCTCTAAACAATGTGCAACAGCGTGTGCTGGTGGTGTATATAATCAATTTAGATTAATTGTGAAGTGGAAAGGCTTTTATTATATGGAATCATTTCCAAATTTTGATAAAAAGTAAAAAAGTAAATATTCTCTTGAGTTTCATAGTACAGAAAACGGCTAGTTGCATGTATTATCCATCCCCAATAAAGTAAATTGCTCATTGATGTATAATTTTTTCTTCTTCACAGGAACGGATTCCAATAGAAGAAGTCTTTGAGCAGCTAAAATGTACAAGAGAAGGTCTAACCGGAGACGAAGGAGCCAACCGGCTTCAAGTGTTCGGACCAAACAAATTAGAAGAGAAAAAGGTTTGTTTACAATTTCTATTAAATGGAAAATCTTTTCCTCCTCCTCGTATATACGTCTTTCGGTGTAACATATAACGATTTGATCTTTTGTAAACAGGAGAGCAAACTACTCAAGTTCTTGGGATTTATGTGGAATCCTTTATCCTGGGTCATGGAAGCTGCTGCTTTGATGGCTATAGCCTTGGCAAATGGTGGTGGAAGGCCTCCTGATTGGCAGGACTTTGTTGGAATAGTTGTTCTGCTGGTCATTAACTCTACTATAAGTTTCATTGAAGAAAACAATGCTGGAAATGCGGCTGCAGCCCTTATGGCTGGTCTTGCTCCCAAGACTAAGGTGAAGAAAAAATGTTGAACAATCCTAAATGCTTATATTGGTCCTGCAAATATTTTATTGAATGTTTTCCTTACTTTTTATGGTGACCTGATATAGGTTCTTAGAGATGGTCGATGGACTGAGCAAGATGCTTCAATTTTGGTCCCTGGAGACATAATCAGTATTAAATTGGGAGATATAGTTCCTGCTGATGCCCGCCTTCTCGAGGGCGATCCTTTAAAAATTGATCAATCTGCGCTTACTGGCGAGTCCCTTCCTGTTACTAAGAATCCCTCAGATGAAGTGTTTTCTGGCTCAACATGTAAACAGGGTGAAATTGAAGCAGTTGTGATTGCCACTGGTGTGCACACCTTCTTTGGTAAAGCTGCACATCTGGTGGACAGCACCAATCAAGTTGGGCACTTTCAGAAAGTTCTCACTGCGATTGGGAACTTCTGCATTTGTTCAATTGCTGTGGGGATAATAATTGAGCTTATAGTTATGTACCCAATACAGAGGCGCAAGTACAGGGATGGGATTGACAATTTGCTGGTTCTCTTGATTGGAGGAATCCCAATTGCCATGCCAACTGTTTTATCTGTCACCATGGCTATTGGCTCCCACAGGCTTTCTCAGCAAGGTGCTATTACCAAAAGAATGACTGCCATTGAGGAAATGGCTGGCATGGATGTCCTCTGCAGTGACAAGACTGGGACTCTGACCCTGAACAAGCTGACAGTTGACAGAAATCTGATTGAAGTGTTTGCCAAGGGTGTGGAGAAAGAGCATGTTATGCTTCTTGCGGCAAGAGCTTCTAGGACTGAAAATCAGGATGCTATTGATGCTGCAATTGTAGGAATGCTTGCTGATCCGAAGGAGGTAAGTTGTCTCACATTTGTCTTTTACCCCTTCAGCCTTTTAGGTCCAAGCCTTTATAATGAGACTTTTCTATGTCATATATCAATTTGGGCAGGCACGAGCTGGTATCAGAGAAGTCCATTTCCTTCCATTCAACCCTGTAGACAAGAGGACTGCTCTGACCTACATCGATTCTGATGGAAATTGGCATAGAGCTAGCAAAGGTGCCCCTGAGCAGGTAACATTGTCTTACCTCAATTTTAGGTATTGAACAAGAAGTATCTCTCCCACTGCATAAAATATTTGAATGTTTCTTATCCTTTGTGACAGATATTAACCCTGTGCAACTGCAAGGAAGATTTCAAGAAGAGGGCTCATGCAGTGATTGATAAGTTTGCTGAACGTGGACTTCGTTCTCTAGCCGTTGCAAGACAGGTTTGCAAAATGAGCCTTTAATATGTGCTTGTTCCTTTGTCAACCGAACTCCCTGGTCTCATATCTGTTTTCTGTTTGTCTTCAGCAAGTACCAGAGAAAACAAAAGAGAGTCCAGGGACACCATGGCAGTTTGTTGGTTTGTTGCCGTTATTTGATCCTCCCAGGCATGACAGTGCAGAAACAATTCGCAGAGCTCTCAATCTCGGCGTGAATGTGAAGATGATTACTGGTAGGTTGCATTTCCCCTTAATCTTTGTAAAATGTCATGACTACATGTTAGTCCGTCCCCCTTTTTCTCCCGTATGGGAACTTTCTATGTTTTGTACCTTCTGTAAAATTCGTGCCTCCAATGTGTAGGGGATCAGCTTGCCATTGGCAAGGAAACTGGAAGGAGGCTTGGGATGGGAACAAACATGTACCCATCTTCCGCATTGCTTGGCCAAGACAAGGATGCATCCATTGCTTCCCTCCCTGTGGATGAATTGATTGAGAAGGCTGATGGGTTTGCTGGAGTATTTCCAGGTGGGTTCTTGGAACTTCTCTTTTCTCTCTAACACACACTCTATTTTAAAGAGAAGTTATACTCCTGAACTTTCTTGGTAGTAGGTAGCATTGAAAAAGCATTTGTAATTGGTTAAAATTCAGCCTACACTCGTGACTGTTCACAGTGTTCGCCGTTCACTATGTTTTTAAGTTTTGTCTTGGAAAATTGAAAATGAGTGACCATGTCACTTTCTTTGCCTTCAGTACTTGGTTGCACTTTCACAATGTGCCACTTTTTTTAATTATTTTTTATTCAATTGATAAGTAAATTTTTGCATTTATTTCTGTTTTTAACTGGATATTGACCCTTGTTCTAACACCTCTTTTTGATATAATAGAACACAAATATGAAATTGTAAAGAGGCTACAGGAGAGGAAGCACATCTGTGGAATGACAGGAGATGGTGTCAATGATGCTCCTGCTTTGAAAAAAGCAGACATCGGTATTGCTGTAGCTGACGCTACTGATGCTGCTAGAAGTGCTTCGGATATTGTTCTCACTGAACCAGGTTTAAGTGTGATCATAAGTGCAGTACTGACAAGCAGGGCCATATTCCAGAGGATGAAGAACTATACTGTTAGTTACATTTATGTTCTTTCATGTTGGCTGTCTATAGATGTTTAAATGTTTCCAGGCCACCCAACTTAATTTTGTTCCATTTTGCAGATCTATGCTGTTTCTATTACCATACGTATAGTGGTAAGTGAAGCAGTGATCAGTTTTGAGATGCTAGTGGTGCTTTTCCTATTTTAGGTCTTATGTATTTATTCTCATTATGCTAAACTTTGTGCAGTTTGGATTTATGTTCATTGCATTGATATGGAAGTTTGACTTTGCACCCTTCATGGTATTGATCATCGCCATCCTAAATGATGGTAAGATTATACACATATCTGTGTGAACGATTTACAGTTGTACATTAGAGTGATAAATGAGTCTGAGTTTGCGCTTACAATTCTGCTAGGAACAATCATGACAATATCAAAGGACCGAGTGAAGCCATCTCCTCAGCCAGACAGCTGGAAACTGAAAGAAATTTTTGCTACTGGCATTGTTCTTGGAGGATACATGGCGCTAATGACAGTTGTCTTCTTCTGGCTTATGACAGATACCAAATTCTTCTCGGTAGGAATATAATTCTTGTATCTTCCATTAATATATAAGCTATGAAGCTCACATTTGTTAGGTAAGTATCTTCAAACTGATTTTATTCACCTTTTTTTTCATAATGCAGAACACATTTCATGTAAGACATTTGGGTGATAGACCTGAACAAATGATGGCAGCATTGTACTTACAAGTGAGTATTGTTAGCCAAGCCCTTATCTTTGTCACAAGGTCTCGTAGCTGGTCTTTTGTTGAACGTCCTGGACTTCTCTTACTCGGAGCTTTCATGGTTGCCCAACTGGTAAGCATTTGCCTACTGTACTGGATGTTTCTGTCTTGTATGCTTCTGTGGTTGTACTCTTCTGCATGCATTTTTATACAAGGCTTCAAATGGGATAATATTAAGCTTTTAGAATTCTTAGGAATTTCCAATAATGTCAACGGGATTAATCTAGAAATATGTGTCTAGTGTGTTTGGTCAAGTAAAAACAATATGATGTTGGGATTCTTGTCTCTCATGACTCACACTCACTTTTTACAAACCTGAACTCAGGTATAAACGCAGAGGAATGTATTTATTTTTCATATTTTCACTTTCTAAATGGTTGCTCATTCTGCACAATGACAGGTAGCTACTCTCATAGCAGTCTATGCAAACTGGGGTTTCGCACGGATAGAGGGATGTGGCTGGGGCTGGGCTGGTGTAATCTGGCTATTCAGCGTGGTGACATATTTCCCTCTCGACTTACTTAAATTCGCAATCCGCTACATTCAAAGTGGGAAAGCTTGGGATAACCTTTTGGAAAACAAGGTATGCTGCTGAATGATAATTCTTTGAAATAAGAGGCACAGTCGAGTAGTAAGATAGATTCTGCATGTTCATAATTGACCTCATTCTGTGTTTTTCGATAACAGACTGCTTTTACTACAAAGAAAGACTATGGGAAAGAGGAGAGAGAAGCTCAGTGGGCTGCTGCTCAGAGGACCCTACATGGCCTTCAACCACCAGAAACCAACAACCTTTTCAGTGACAAGAACAGTTACAGGGAGCTTTCAGAGATCGCAGAACAAGCCAAGCGGAGGGCTGAGGTTGCAAGGTAAGCACCATGTGTACTCAATTCTTTCCAGGAAAATGCAGCTATGCGACTTAAACACAGAGATAGTTTCATGCTTGCCAGTTATGCATATGCACTTTGTAATGCAGAAGTTATTATTTGAGATTCTAAGACAATTCGTTTCCTGTTGTCATTGCAGGCTGCGGGAGTTGCACACACTGAAGGGTCATGTTGAGTCAGTTGTGAAGCTCAAAGGACTCGACATCGACACAATTCAACAACATTATACAGTTTGAGGGAGAGCTTTCTTAAAGGGGAACAAAGAGGCTTAAGCTTCTACCTTGAATGAGAAGCGAAAAATTAATGACGACGATGATGATGAAGCTCTTTAGTAATAACCTTGTGTCTTTAGATTAGTTTAATACTCCTCTTGCTAGGGGATGTCTCTTTTGTAGCCAAAATAACTTGAATTACAGTTTTACTATTTGGGTTTTTACTCAATATCGTCCGTCATGTGATTGGCGCTATGTCTTTTGCGTTATTTTACTGTACATAGTAGGAGCCCCTACAAAGAAGTAATAAGGATCCGTTATTATTATGAACACCTGAAAAGCATTTCCTTTGATGGTTGATAATGAAATTTCTAAAATTCTTGTTGGAAATAGAAATTTGAGTGGGATGTTTTTCAATTTAAATCAACATTGAAAACGAGAGATCTTATTTCTCGTAAACGGCTTTGCTAGAGTTTTTGGTGTTTTTAATTGGGTTCCTTTTATTTTTTTATTTTAAAATTTCCATTGGAATTTTTTTTTTGTTCTTTTCAGGCTCGCTTCTATCATTATTCTCGTTATTATTTTCTTCGTGGAATCTGTGTATTTGCAAAGGCATATTTTCACATTCTCAATGTTTTCTTTTCGAATTTCTAACAAAATATTATAGTTTGTCTTACATTATAATGAAAAACAAACACAGTGCTCTGGAGATCGCTCAACAACATTTGACACGAAAACTTGAAAGTGTTTTTGGGTTTCTTTAAGAAATTTTTAATAAAAGTGCGTATAAGCAGAAGTGCTCCTACGAAGCAATCCCAAAGTGACCCACTTTCTTAGACAATCTATGTCAGAAGGTGGCAGGTTGGACATCACAATCCTTCTCACCTAATTGCTTTTCTCCCATTTCGTGAGACAATGGCATGGGACCAGAGCCAAGAATGATGATGGTCAAAATAAGCAAATATTACATATGAAATTAATTAGAAAAACTTAGCTAATTAGTTTTTTACAAGCAAAGCTATAATGCATAATACTACATAATCTTAGTTCACAGCAGCACAATCATGCCTAATTTCACCCTGCTTTCCATTCTTAATTCCAAATCTTCCAAGCTTTGTTATGGCAGCCACAAAAGCCCGTTCGAAGGCGGAGGCGTCTGCTGCAAACAAATTGACAATTTTTCTTGATCTGGCGTCAGTGAACAAAGACTGATCAGAAGTAAACAACCCTTTTCCTTGCTGAAGGTTCTTGTAGTAGACATTGTCGAACTTTTGGGGTGTGGTTGGGTCCATGTCAACAGCAATTCTGGGGTCTACATTTGCTGGACACTCTTGTTTGAGATGCCTTGCATATGCCAAGTTCATCGTTGGATCAATTCTGTTCTGGCTTTTGAAACTGTATATCCGGTGAGTGAATTTGTTGCAGTGCGAGAATCCAATTGTATGTGCACCTACAACAAAGAAAATGAAAAAACAACAACAAAAATTGGATCAAAAACAGGTTCTGCATAACTTTGTGTTTTTTTGTTCTGTTTAAGATTTTTGGTTCTTCAAGCACCTGAGAGTGCAATGAGATCGGTTAGAGAGAGACCGTGGGAGGCGAACATCGACTTCAACTGGTCTAACCTAAAATCAGGATGAGGAAGATGTTGTCTCACACTGGCTTTTGTAGAAGTCCTCCCATCAAGTCTTCCCAATTCAACTCTGTAATATGGTCCCCCAGTCTGCACCAAGAGAATGCGTTAAAAGCATGCACAATATGGAATGTACAAAGAAGATTCCTTTTTCTTTTTTTTAGATTTTTCAAGCAGTGAAAAGGGACAAAGTGCTTTTGCACCCCACATTGAGGTGAAAATGGATTCTGCACTGGACAGCACTTCATGTGAATGCACAGTGCATAAACCCTTGATCACATTGGATCCTTCTATTTCTTGTGAGAGATTTGCTGAAACAAGAAATCTCTTAGTAAAAAGTGCAGTTACCATAATCCCTTCAATTCAAACTTTTAAGAGGGTTAACCTAAAAGAGACAAAAGAAAAAATGGTGCTTCCTTGCTTTGTTTACCAGTCTTACGACATCCCTTGTGGCCAAGGCCAGAATGTCAGCACAAGAAACCTTGTTCCTGCACTGGGGCACTTTATCAACAGCAGCCTTGGCTTTGATCACCGTATCAAACCCATCTCCAGCGAGCGAAAGGTTATCAGAGTTGTCCTTCTCTGCTGAATTGTTCCGAAAAGCTAGCATTATTGAAGCATCACATCCCTACATATGGCCAAAAATCTCACACTCATTGTTGCAGTTGCATGTATAAATATATAAATATGTATATGTATATGCAAAAATGTAAATTTTGTGTCAGGAAAAAAACCCAAGTACCCGGATGAAACAATCGTGGAAGAAGAGCCTCAGAGTGGCTGGAGCTGTCACAAATGTCTGCTGAAACTTCTGTTTGACTGCAGCATGCACAATTGCTTCAACATTTGGGCATGAGCTTCTGTAATATTCTACATGAAGCTGAGCATGAGCTGTGTTCAAGAGGAAAAGAAGAAGAAAGAGTAAAGGAAGAGAGAAAAGGCTTTGAACATTCATTGCTTGAAGTTGGAATTGTTTCAAGTCAGTTTCTTGATTGCATAAATATATATAGATGGGTTGGCCTTGTCTGTCAAGAATCTTAAAAGGAGTTGATAAGAGTTGATATTTAACAGTAATAATAATGAAACCCATAAAGGGATGCTTGGGTTAAAAAGGAGGTGGATTTGAAAACTGGGTGCATGACAAATTGACAAGCATGCTGGCTGGCATGTTGATAAAGATGTTTTTGGGTTTTTGGATGTTTAGGATTGTCCTTGGGGCTCTGGCATTATTGAAAGATTAAAAGGAAAGTGATTTTGGTTCCTGCTGCTCTGTCATTGTGCCCCAATCTATTTGGCACATGACAAGCATCTAGTACTTAGAAATCTATGAGACCGTAACTGCTCTCTAGTTTCTACACAATGTGATGCTTGGCTAGCCTCCAAATTTGCTTTGAGGAACAATTGATGATGCATATGAGTGAGAATAATAAGGTTTGTTTTTTTGTTTTTGGTAAATAAGTTAAGAACAAAAGTTCAAACTATACTGCTAAAGTAAGATTTACCCAATAAATAAAATCTCAGTGAGAGAATGTTGCATTGTTTTTTAAATGGCAGTCGGTTTACAAATTATTTTTTTAGTATATGTGATAGTCTAAACTACAGGGTTTAGGGGATATGAGTTTCTCACACACACAATCAACATGCTATGGAGTTCGAATATGAGATTTCTAGTCTGCAGCCGGCTTACCAATTAACTTTTGATTTAGCGGTATTTTCTTTCCAATATTGAAAGATGTCCCAAGTTTAGTTTCCCTTCCCTCAAATGAAAAAAAAGAAACAAGGGCCCCCTTGAAACACTGCCACATGGATCACCCAGAAAATAAAATATTGGTAAACAAACAATGTAGTATTATTGATTTGTTTGAATGGAAGGAGGCAGCCCACGTGGTTGAATTCTTATTATTGTTCAATCTGACAAAAAAGAAACCTTCTTGTGTCTTGCCAAATGACAATTGCTGCCAATTGCATCATGGGCTATTCATATGTTATGTAATTTTCCTATATTCCCTTCCATCTTTAGGACAATTAAAAAAGGAGGAGGTCATAATTTCAAAAAGAGAGCATAACAAAAACAAATATAGACAAAGCTATAATATATAATACAAATTATCTACTTAATTAAAGTTATTAAACAGGTCTTGTCTTGCTCATGTGATTCGTGGTTGCATAGCATATTCCTATTCGCATGCGATTGATAAACAAATAAATACAATTAATTAATGTTTTTTTCAGTCTGTGTTCTTTTTTTGACACAAGTATCAAGCGATATTGGGGTTGACACAAAGTATCAAGCAATATTGGGGGAGAGAAAATTCGAACACAAGATCTCGAGCGTGAAAATAATAACTCTTAATCACTTAAGCTACAAGTCACTGCACTGGACACCTCTATTTTTCAGTTTTTGGGCCATACACATCTTCAGCTAGGGTTTTAGAGGAGAGACCACCATGAGCTTTATAGCTTCGGGCTCACTCATCACATGGACCCAAAGCTAACTTTAGCCCACTATTACAACATCAGTTGACTTTGGGCTTTGTCCATATGCGACCATCCAAACGACGTGTCGTTTTCTATTGGGACATTCCTATTCTCAATTCTTCAATCTCTGTAATCACTATCAGCGCAAGGCGACCTTGGAAGAAAGAGAGGGAAATGGCAGCGGCGTCGTTTAGGTGGATACTGCAGTTGCACAAGGACGTACCAAAAGCCGCTCGCTTCTACGCCCAAGGCTTGGACTTCTCCGTCAATGTCTGCACTCTCCGCTGGGCTGAGCTTCAGTCGGGCCCACTCAAGCTTGCCCTCATGCATTCCCCCAAGTAACTTACTTTCTCTGAGACTGGGCGCTCTCAGTGCATATTAAGTGTTTGATTGTATGTCTAAAAGAGCTATTTACACACCCTTTGCCATAAAAAAGCATAATGTCTGTTTGTGTTTTTCAGAAGAAAAATAGGTGATGAGTAAAATAAACCCAACTTCAGAAAGTCTTGGTTCTTGGGGTTTGATCCCATTAACATGGTGCCATTATGCTTTTCTTGTGTCCATTGGCTAAATGAGTTTGTATTAATTGCATCTGGGTTTTGCCTCTAATTGAAAATGGCAGATGCTAATAATGCAGTTTCATAGTGACCATGAGATGCAGGAGGGGTACTCTTCACTCTTGTCTTTCACAGTCCCGGACATTAATCAAACAGTGACAAAGTTGATGGCATTAGGAGCTGAACTAGACGGTCCTATCAAATACGAAATCCATGGGAAGGTGATGACTAAATTTCTAGACACCCCTTTGACACCCCTTTGACAATGCCATAATTCATTCATTTGTGCATTATTATTGCTATGCTGGATGCAACGATGTTGTTACATAACAGTTTTTTCGTGTCCAGGTTGCGGCCGTGCGATGTATCGATGGGCACATGTTAGGCCTCTATGAACCTGCCTAGGAGTTTCAGAAGCAAAGCCGTCAAAAAATGCAACAAGCTGAAGACATTGGTATCTTTGAACCCATTGAGAAGATGTGAGAAGTTGTACTTGTCTCGGATTCCCGTCAATAATCCACTGTTTGATCATCCAGAGATCTATTGGAGCTGTGTGCACAGCTAAGAAAACAGTGTAGCCATGATTTAGAGGGAAACGGGTTCATTTTATGGTCTCAATTACCTTCTTATGTAGATGGTGTGGAATGGTTTGAGTTGTTTTTGAAATACGGGAGCAAGTCTATTTGTAGACAAATGAATTGGCAAATAGAAGTGCCAAGCGCAAATTTGAAAATCTGGGAACTATACTTTTTGGCAGCATCTAATTTTGGAAACGAGATTTATTCTAGTCTAAAATGGCCTAAACTATAATGATGGCACAAATCAAATAGATCAGACAGCCTGATACAGATGTTTCCGAGGGATAATGAGTAGGTGATACTCGAATATACAAATTGCTGAAATCAACCCTATTGCTATTTTAGCCTAAAAATTGTCTCACGAATAGTTTGGTTAGTACTCTAATGCTAAACAACTAAAGGTATCCCAGCAGCACCATTTTTGCTACGGTTTTGTACAAATTCAGATGTTCCGACTGGTGTAGCATTAAGAGGACCCCTCACATATATCCCGAAGAGCTTGTGGCAAATTCAACACAATCTCTGCATATGCTGGAGTAGACGCACACAACAGACAGAAAAACCATCAGAAATGCAGAAGCATGCAAAGCCTATACAGGAACAGCGCTGTAAAAAGTGCCCAACAAAAGTGTTTTGGAGTCATTAAACTGTCTCTTTGATCTTAACATTAAAGTTGGAACGGGTTGTTTTGTTATATTTCAAACATAATCGTAGACCAAAAGAAAAAAATAGTCAAGTATCATCAGGAGGATATAATAGCGAGGGCGACCTCATCAAAATTTTGAATATCATTTATATTGGCAAGTAGTAAGCAACAAAAAAAGTCGTCAACTAGAAAGAATACCTTCAGGTAAGCTCATATTTTGCAAGGCATCCTCTGCATAGGAGAGGGTAGTTGGACCATCCAAGGATCCGTTTTCCTTTTTGTTCATGGTTGATGCATTTAGACTTGTTTTCCTGTATTGATGCACTGGCCATGCTACCACACTGACATGAGTTGGAAGTACAGAAACAAGCTCCGCATATTTAAGCTTAACTATTACCTTGCTGCAAAAAGAAACAGACATTCTTCAGCATGATGGAAACCTCTTTGTGAGGATGTATGTAATCATGCCTGCAACCAATATGACAATCAAACTGGTGTAATTTAGTTTTATGACTAACAGTCGATATCATGTGAAAATGATAGAAGGCAACAGACAGAATCAACTACTTTTGTCTTGTCAAAGGAACATAGAAGTGAGCAAATTTATCATTGTCCTACTGAGGAAAAAGCTGTTGATTGTCTGCCAGACAAGCCAGACATGGTAACTTGGAAGCTTCAGGAACAAATTACCAAGCTCAAAAGATACCCTACCTTTACAAGGAACGGGTATGGGATACTTCAAAACCGTGTGAGCTATTACTAATATGTTCAGTCACCCACGTGAACATGAATGTGCTGACAAATGATTAATTACTAATATATTTAGCACCTCAAGATGTTATTCCACTGATATTTAAAAATATAAAAATCCAAATACAAAGTATAATGCAGGGGAAAAAAAATGCACCAACCAATCAAAATCAACTAGTGAAAAGGCAATTAAGTTGTAGGGAAGGGTATAATAAATTTCTTTAATCTGGTTCCCATATAACTCCTTGGCAAGCCGAACCTGCATGACAATCAATAAATTTTTCGTTAATAAGAATGACAATCCGTGAAGTTGAAATAGTAACAAATTAAATCTTTGTTGTTCATGAAAATATTGTGTGGGGATAAGTAGGTGAAACCCAAAGATAAAGGAATGCAAGACAGCTGTTATAACTTATATCCCTGCCTCCAAAATAGAAAACCCTCTAACCAGATTTTCAACATTTCCAATTTTAATTTGAACTTCGCATATTTGACTATTTCATGTATGCGGGATGGAAAAAAGGAGGTAACACACCCTTCACCCAACTCTAATCTATTACATTTTGAATTAGACACACTCTTCAATAATGTTTACAAATGCCAACAGCATACCTGTTCCCTTCTATCCACGTAAGACTGCAAAAGCTCTCCAATGTAATCTATAAATTTCTGAAAGCAGATCACCAAGGATTAATATCATACCCGGTACTATATTGAGTGAGCAAGGCCTATGCAGGAAACCATTCTTACCATAGCATTAGAAGAAAGAAGATCATTTTCCGCTTCTCGTAACGGCAAAAAATATGGAATGGTGTGTTCAAGGACAGTCATCTTCTCAAGAAATGACTTGCTCTCAAGCACACAATGGTACAGGTCACAAGGTTCTCCTGCACCATTGCAGATGCAGATGCAGATGAGTCATCTTCTCCAGTGCTAAAGCCGAAAGTGATGAATGCGCTTACAACCTCATTGAAGATTTTTTATTTATTTCTCGAGAGTAAAAATATGTTGTCTATAATGTATATAAGCCCTAAGCCAACCTATTAGGCAACTGAAAAAATGAAAGGGTCAAATGGCCCATATCTGGGTGACCCTAGGGCCTATATACAAACTTAGGATACTAAAAAAATTATTTTACCACCAAGATACTTGTGCTAGGTGCAAGTGGTATCCTGTAAATTACTAGAAAGAACTAAATTAAGAAACAAAAAAATGGGGGGAACTGATCCAGCCGTTACACCAATCTTGATAAACTGAATTATCAAGTATCAACCTTCAGTTTTCTAATGGAAGATTACAAGCAGCAGAATAATGATGTCACATGGAAAAATGATACTTTTTGCTAACATTACAAAAAAGACATGATACCAAAGCTAGACACTTGGATTACTAAACAATTAAAATCAGTTACTTCACAGCATACCTGCATAAGATGTCTCATACAGAATGCCAATTCTAGCCCCTTCCAAACAACAAATCACCTGTTCACAATTAATACAATATTCAGGAAAACTCTCACCCCAAAACAGTACTCAATAAAATTATCAAATAAAGATTTCCATATGTATAATGGTATCTAATATGTACAAACTACAACTGGATGTTAACCAGATTTTCCTTTAACAACCTTCCTTGGATCCTGGCATTGATGTTTGTATTTATTTTCACTCTTTAGAAACTAGATTTAAAAGAAATTATTAAAATTCTCACGACCTGATTTACAACAATGCACAGTTATTCTTCAATCAGAAAGGCTTCTTGGTTTGCAAATAGCCCTGTCTTGGCCTTTCAAAGGAGGTATTTCTCTAACCATGCTATGGATAATCATGACCCAACCCCCCATTATTGATTAAAATAAACTTCCCAAAATTACCTTATTTCCGACTTTATAAGTAATTTTTTCTTGGATTTGAGGACCAGACAACATGTTTACGTCTCCCGCCATTGCCTTTCTGTCAACCTCCATGTGAACCTGATTAAATTATAACTCAATTAGATTAGGCATTTGTTCATGTTACACATGAAACAGCCTAAGGAAAATTGAATATCGAATCAATCACTGAATTCTAACATCAAAGGATTAAAGGGAGCCACAGTAAATCCCAATAAGTATTGGATAAAACCATACCCGCTCTCTTATTGTAGCTAGTAGTCCATCATTCCATTGTTCACCATCCAAATAAATCTCTGCAAAAAAAGATATATTTTACTTCTTAACCAAACTAGAGGAGGTGAACCAAAATTATTTCAAAAATTAACACAAACAAAGCTTACACAACCTTTTAATCAATAGGAAGACTTGGAGAGAAAGCATTTAGAATATTGGCTGAATTATATTGTTATTTATACATTCAGCTTAAGTTATCTCTAAGATCTGTGAAATGGGAACCACAGTAATTCCAACACAGGTTAGCCATCAAGACTAGTAATTCCAACACATCCCTTGTGGGACTCAGGGTATGATAGTATTCCCCTTTTAGTTGCTGGCATCCTCATCAAGAGATTGATTTCACACACTTATCCACGACCTAAAATACCACAACCTGATCATGGTTGGGTTCCTTATACCAGTTTACAGCCCTAAGATCACCCCAGTACACAGAGGATATGGGAATTGAGGTATCACACCCCACCTTTGCCCTCCTCCAACAGCATTTAGGAACCCATGAAGAAAAGAAAAAGAAACTTGACGTGATGCAAAGCTAGATACTACTGATTACTTTTGAAATGAAGCATTAACACATAACTTTTTTTCAACAAAAATGCTAGTCATACCACATTTGTATACCACATTGTGTACCACCTCTCTAAAAGAGGTGAGCCCCATTGTATTGGGGGGCTCCACCTCTATTAGAGAGGTGGTACATAATGTGGTATACAAATGCGGAATGCCTAGCATTGCTCTTTTTTCAACGATACCTTGAGTTTGTAAAGCCCGTGCAGCTTCAAATTCTTTTTGTAGACGCTCATAAATTGTCTTGTCAGCATCCCTATTAAATCAATAGAATCACCAAGACATTAGACCAGAAATTACATGTCCATCGAGAACAATGATAATATTGCTACTATGTATCAATCTGTTTGCAGCCATGGCAATATATAAACACCAACACATGATGAAAATAGAAGGTGCTATGTACAATACAAGAAAATTCAGAACATAACTGGAAAAATGATGAACAAGTAGTTCTTTTCTTCGGAGGCATACATAGAAGTGCCTCCAAATGATTCAAATGATTAGCTTGTTTGATTAATTCAGGTCATATCCACACTTTTCAGAAAGAAATAAAACGCAGGTGCATATCCATAAGTCACTAAGTACTTTATTTTCACTGGTGTATTAAATATGTATGCAAATAAGTACATATATATTACGTAGTCACACATGTCTCTGTTAATGTACATTTACAAAATAAAATATCTGAAAGCCATTGACGAACAGCTTAGTAAACCCTTTGGGATCACAAAAGTCAGTTGAAGCTAAAATGTTATTGCACTTGACATTTAATCACAAGGAAAGAAAGAACCATAATAAGGCTATGTTAACTATCTCAAGGTCGAAATGGGTTCTTAAATTCACCTATCATTCATCAAACCTGTCTAATTTATAAAATTACAATTTCTTCTGGTTATTTTCAAGAATACAAAATTGCATGCAAAAGAATGATGAATAAAAAAGGCCCAAATCCAAAAAAAAGTTAAAAGGCCCAAAATTCACAAAAGTCATACGAAAGCATCACGTGATTCAGAAATGTTTTTGGTCTTTTTCCGAAAGATATTTGAAGTGAGTTTCAACAACCAGCGTATCATAATCAATCTCATACTCAAAATAGAAATATACGAAGAAACAGTGCTACCCACAGCTTAGTAAAAGATCTGGAGGTCATTGACGAACAGCTTAGTAAACCCTTTGGGATCACAAAAGTCAGTTGATGCTAAAATGTTATTGCACTTGACATTTAATCACAAAGAAAGAAAGAACCATAATAAGGCTATGTTAATTATCTCAAGGTCGAAATGGGTTCTTAAATTCACCTATCATTCATCAAACCTGTCTAATTTATAAAATTACAATTTCTTCTGGTCAATTTCAAGAATACAAAATTGCATGCAAAAGAATGATGAATCAAAAAGGCCCAAATCCAAAAAAAGTTAAAAGGCCCAAAATTCACAAAAGTCATACGAAAGCATCACGTGATTCAGAAATGTTTTTGGTCTTTTTCCAAAAGATATTTGAAGTGAGTTTCAACGACCAGCGTATCATAATCAATCTCATACTCAAAATAGAAATATACGAAGAAACAGTGCTACTCACAGCTAAGTAAAAGATCTGAAGGTCATTGATGAACAGCTTAGTAAACCCTTTGGGATCACAAAAGTCAGTTGATGCTAAAATGTTATTGCACTTGACATTTAATCACAAAGAAAGAAAGAACCATAATAAGGCTATGTTAATTATCTCAAGGTCGAAATGGGCTCTTAAATTCACCTATCATTCATCAAACCTGTCTAATTTATAAAATTACACTTTCTTCTGGTTATTTTCAAGAATACAAAATTGCATGCAAAAGAATGATGAATCAAGAAGGCCCAAATCCAAAAAAAGTTAATAGGCCCAAAATTCACAAAATTCATACGAAAGCATCACGTGATTCAGAAATGTTTTTGGTCTTTTTCCGAAAGATATTTGAAGTGAGTTTCAATGACCAGCGTATCATAATCAATCTCATACTCAAAATAGAAATATACGAAGAAACAGTGCTACCCACATTTTTGAGATAATCAAGGAACTGGACTCCATTTTGGGTGTGGCCAAAGCATCTAAAATGCCTGCAGTTATAAACATAGATTTGCAATAAGATTTCTTAGTAGATTTCTTGCTTTCTTCTTCCACTGTTCGACAATATTTTTTTCTCCTATTTTGTTGCATACATACATACTCTCTAAAATGATAAAAACGCAAGTGAAATTCTCCGAAAACATGTATGACAAAGATGAACAAAGATTACACAACGCATATATTACTGAGTCTAGAGGAGCGACTCCACGAAGGCCTTTGGAATTTTAAGTCACTCAAAACATGAGTACTTCATAATATTTTAAAGCAATAACAGTTCCATAAAAGTAATTATGATCTCACAATAACCAAAAGCTAGATGATGAATGAAGAGTTAAAAATTTCCTGAGAAAGCCTTACCTAGAAAGACGCTCTGCTAAGTCACTATGCCGTTTGAGAACATTTGTCCCTATCAAGTACAGGAAAAGCTTTAGCAGCTTCATAATAAAGAAACATTCTTATACATATATGCAACACAGAACGGAGACAAATAAATATGAAAATAGATTGTTACATCTAGCCCGTGTCGCGTCTAACGAAATGTCTTCCTCTTGCAGAAAACTCTGTTACAAATCAACAAAATAAGTACCACCTTGTGATAAAATCCTACACAACACCAAAGCACTAATAGCAACAAATTGACTTACAAATGAAAAATAAAATATCACACTAAAAATGAACAAAAATAAGAGTGACAAGTAAAAACCATTACCATGTCTCCCATTAGGGCATAGGGACGTCCGCTTAGAGATTCAAATTGCTGCATTATTCAGCAGAAATTGTACTCAGCAATCCATAACAAGTCATATTTGCAGCGATACAATTGAAAGTAACAGTGACTGAAGCAATGGTGAAGAAATCAATATAAAAATGAAATCAAAAACAAAAAAATCAATTCAATTTCTCAGCAAAAATATGTATTTACAGTAAATTAATCGATGAATTATGAACAAAAGAGCTTACCCTGCGAGAGGAGTCTCCAAGATAAGCCATTTTCCTCGGTCTCCTCCTGTAAGGCTCTTCTGTGTCGCTGTAATCCATTCCTCTCACAGAGAGAGAG